CAGATGTGACGTAGAAAATCCTATTATGTTGTCAGTCAAAAGATTCTTCTTGTTTTCTTTCATTTAGACTATACACGTACTTTCTTACAACAATAACCCTGAAATTCATCATGAATTAATTTATTTCAACGTTAAATGATCAGAACAATTGAAAGACACATAATATTAAGATTTATAGTAAATGCAGTCTTTGAGAAAAAAAAGTACTTTTTGCGAATTCTGTGACTTCTTTAGTTTCTGTAACTAATAGGACAAATGATGTTTTATTGTTTTTTTCTGTCCCGTCAATTACCCTTAAACTTTCTCGCTGTTTCTCAGAGTATTTAATAGACACATAGCTACTCACCAAGAAAAGCATCGAGAGATACAACCACTCTATTTATAGACCGGCGTCGGTGGTGTAGCGGTTAGGCACGAAGGCTTCACCGCAACACCCAGGATACGTGAGTTCGATTTCCGTTGTAGGAGTAGGATTTTTTATCAAACCAAGTATCTGGGTAGCGTTTCTGCTGGATGGGACAATGTGCCCCTCTCAGCCCGGGTTGATCCAAGCACGCAAGATCGAGGCCCACCTTCGAAATGGTCTTTTTTTTTTTTTTTTTTTTTTAAAGTCTTTCCGAGCCGCTGTGTCGTCTGGCATTTTTTTTTTTTTTTTTTTTTTAAAGTGTTTTTACGGGCGCCCCCAACTGCATAAGGTCATATGAGCGCGCGGGACACACCTAATACTTTTAGTTGGTAGGAAATTTTGAATTTTGCCCGGGTGGCGGCAGAAGCCTACCCTTGTCGATTTTAGACCACCAAGGGATATTTAACGTGCGCAACTTGCACATGGGCCCTCCGAAGTTTTTCGCCCTTGTCCGAGAAGGCTAGGAGTAGATCTTTCCTACCAGAAGATCAGGGGTGTGGCGGAAAGACAGCTGTAAGAAGGAGTCAAGCAGTAGCAGTAGAAAGGCTGCAGAAAGAGTTAGGAGCCCAGAGGAGGGGGCAAAGGAGGTGAGGGGTGGGGGTACAAAGAGAAGACGAAAGCAGACGAAAGAATATTGCTAGAGAGCAGGAAAGGAGGTGAAAGGAGACAGTTTTAGAGAAGAAAATGTTTCGGTCGCTACCCGGATTCGAACCCGGGACCTTTGAATGGGAGGCCAACACCTTAACCTCTAGGCCACGAGAGCCCACTCGAAATGGTCTGACTAAATTTCTCCGATGAGGGCGTAAAAAACACAGACGTTATCTCAAAGTTATCATTTTCGTCATGGTGTCATTCAAGCAGACATCTCTATGTATAGCAACGAATGCCAATGCCACTAGATAATTCTTGGAAAACCAAACCATATCAACGTTGGAGTGGTCAGCATGTTTGCAACTCTCTGTAACATTTGGCACTTAAATGACAAATAATTATGTTCAACATCTAACAGATTCGATGCCCAAAGGGTTCGTGTACTACACAAAACTATGGCTCCTAAACAAAATAATAATGAACACATTAAAAATGTAATGTTAAATCCCAGTTTTGCTTGATATTAATTGTGATTTCTCTGTTTTCCTTTTTCTTTGAAACTATCGTGAAAAAAAATATTTTGAAAAGATTGTTTATTGCAATATTAAATTATTCTCTATTCATTTGATATGTTATGTACGAGTGTGTTCATTCCATCGATAGTGATGCTCCTCAATACACGGGCGAAGAATATTTTACGTTTCTTTGATTTCGCACAATTGCGTCAAGCCTGATTTTTTAAGGCCAGTTTTGAGTGACCATATCACGGGTGTCTCTTATCATATATGAATTATTAATATGTCAGATGATACATAATTTATTTAACTTTAAATTGGTATACTGTATGAGTGGGTAGGGAGAGATTTTAACACGATGATTTGGTGATTACATTTTCAAGTTTCTTTTGGACGCCATTGAATATTATATATATACACATATATATATAAATATATATACATTTTATTATATATATATATATATATATATATATATATATATATATATATATGTATTATACATATATATATATATATATATATATATATATATATACTATTAATATGTGTGTATGTGTGTGTGTTTGAATATGTAGGTGTGTGTGTGTCTGTGTGTATGTGGGTGTGTGTGTGTGTGTGTGTGTGTGTGTGTGTTTGTGTGTGTGTGTGTCTGTGCAGGCATATGTGTGTATGTTGACATGTTTGTTGTGTATGTAGGTGTGTGTGTGTGTGTGTGTGTGTGTGTGTGTGTGTGTGTGTGTGTGTGTGTGTGTGTGTGTGTGTGTGTGTGTGTGTGTGTGTGTAGGTATATATGTGTGCATGTAGGTGTGTGTATGTGAATATACATAATATATATAAATATGTATATATAATATAATTATGTATATATATATATACATATATTAATATATATATATATATATATATATATGAGCGTGTGTGTGTGTGTGTGTGTGTGTGTGTGTGTGTGTGTGTGTGTGTGTGTGTGTGTGTGTGTGTTTGTGTGCGTACGCGTGAGTGTGCAGGTATAAGTGTAATGTCTTTCAGTTAACTTCTTAGCAGATTACTACCAAATACATTGTTAATAATAATTTCCTTCCACACTTTACCAAGGACACAAATCTATACTTATCAAATTCCTTCTTATCCGCGTCTGTGGTATAGCGATAGGACACTTCGCCGTCGCAAGCAAGCAAAAGTTTGATTCTTATCGAGTAACTCCGTCTATCTTGCTGAGGTGTTGATTTCAACTCAACTCGGGTTGGCGCGGGGTGTTCCGGGCTGGCAGAATCGAAGCAACCGCCTCCCAAATAATCTAAGTAATGTCAAAGGGTAACATAATAATATATAATATGTGCAATTACAATCGGCACGTTTAAATGTGGATTTTTTGTTCTGTTTTGTTTGTTGTTGTTGTTTTTTGTTGTTGTTTAGTTTTTTTCGTTTGTTGTTTTTGTTGTTGTTGTTGTTGCTGTTGTGTGTGTGTGGTAGCCTATCCGTTTGAAATGTTTGGAACCCCAAAGAGCGTGCTATCCGCCAGGGCCACCGCCTCCTTTGTCTGTTGTTGTTGTTGTTGTTGTTGTTTTAGTTGTTGTTTGGATTGTGGGAGGGGGGGGTTGTTTGATGTTGTTGTTTTTTTGGGGTGGTGTGATTTTTTTTGTTATTGTAGGAGGCGAGAGGGGGTGGGTCATAATCTAACTGACTCCGACATATCGGGTATGAACGTTAAATCTTCGCGTTGCTCTTGAAAAAGCCTTAAAACACCCCGGGGTGGTGCCACTGACTGAAATGTCTTTAGGCCATTCCCAAAGGGGGGACATTTCTCGTTCTAATGCACAGTAGAATTGTAAATGGGCTGATCCAACAAATGTCATGCTCATAATTGTGCCAGATCTACGAAGGGAACTGCTGCTTTTTCTTTCCTAATCCTTATTATCGTCATTTTCCTCTACTTCTTTTATATGTTTGTCACACTCTTGTGACCTACTATTTCCGGGTGCCTTGATAGTCGAAGCAGACTTTGTGCTGTTGAAGCTAGAGAGGTGAGCAGAGTAAGTATGATCCCCTGTAAGGACTTCTCTATTGACATCCACCCCTTGGCGTTCATATGACGTGATGCAGTTGCGAGAGCCGTAAAACCTCTAATAAAACAAACAAAAAACAAAAGCCTTAAAGTTAATGTTGAAAGGGTTAAACGATTCGCTCAACAGCATTTTCAGCCAAATTGTTGTCTTTTCTTCTTCTTTCTCGTGCCTCCCCCCTGGGTTGTTGTTGTTGTGGGGGG